CACACACACACACACCTCCACACACCTACACACACACACACACACCCGCACACACACACACACACACACACACACACACACCCGCGCACACACACACACACACACCCGCGCACACACACACACACACCTCCACACACCTACACACACACACACAACGTCACATAAGTAAGTCTTATCTTTGCTGAACGACTAGTCCAGGATCTCTATGATGTCGGCATCCTTAGTGGCATCTGGCGGCAACCGAGGATGAGAAGGCTAAAGGTAGCTTTCCACGTTCCGCCAGCTGGGGATCGGAAAACCTCAGCTCCTGAGCGAAGTCTCTGTGTCTTGTCGAAAATGTGTGTATTGTACAACGTGAAGCACACCTGCGGCTGCTGGATTTGCCACTTGCATGCACAGCAAAGCAAAGGGAGAGGCATTTGAGCTCAAGTGCTGCAACTCTAACCCCCTTCGGGCCAAGGGAAAGGGCCCTCCCTGACTTTTTTGGGGGCAGGGGAGCTGGGGAATTAACCCCAGGAGGTAACCATGATGAGGGGAGGCATCAACCTTGGAAGCCTTGGAAGGGACGACGATGGAAGCAAAAACGCGCAAGACAAGAAGCACGAGCCTTTGTGGCACAATGTGCAGAAAAAGGTGACGAGTGTCACCCCTTTCCGGGCGGCGTGCACTCTTCCAATACTCTGGCGGACACTTAGGCCAGTGTGACCTTTCAACTCCTACTTCGCGACTCGCTCAGCCATGTAGGAGGCAAAACTTAGCGCCGGATCGATGAAGCTTCGAGGCTTTTGGGTTAGAGGTCTAAAGTTCAAGAATCTGGCACTTATGCGGTTGAGGATTTAGGGTTTTGGGTTTAGGCTGCTGTCACCAGCCTGGAACGAGTTGGCTGTCCTGGCGTGACGTTGCAAGCCAGTTGCAAAAAGGGTTTAGGATTCAGGTGAAGAGCAATGGGCTTGCGTCCAGTAGCGAAAAAGTGAAGAGCAACAGTCTGGAAGTGCTGCTTCCCCGCTGATTGGCAGAGTCTGGGTGGGTTCAAAAGAAAAGGGGTCTTCACTTGGGAGCCTGGTTGCTGCACCACATCCTGCTACTTGCAGAAGCCTTCGCAGCTGCGCCACAAAGCCAAGGGCAAACGTATACATATGCCTTTGCTGGGGACCGGCGGATCGGATTCCGCCTAGAGGTGACAGATTGCCCTGTCATTTCATCAGTCCGAGGCTTTCTCGCGGAGCCTGGCTGGAATGGACGGAATTTACCTTCACTTGGTTTTGGCCGCCAGCTCTCTTGCCAGATTTCATGTGTCAGACTTACAGGATTGACGAACATTTCGATGCTCACGCTTTGCACACAAGCTGTGCTGAACTCCACTCGCAGGTTAGGCGCATGCGTGGCAGCACTGGCACGCCACTCAAGCATACATAGGTTTGCTGTTCTAGTTGGCTTTGGGTATTGCGCTGGCTGTTGGCAATCGGGCAAAGGTACTTAGAAAGCCTCCGTGTGCAGCTGCGGGCGCCACGGAACTGAACTTGTTCAGAACAACAGCAACGCAGAAGTCAATGAACAGCACATCGTTCTAGACGAGCTGGTATGCGGAGGTCGGATGGATTGGGGATTTGTCAATGTTGAGCCTCCTCCTGACGTGCACGCTGGCAGGGGCACATGGGCATGCTCTGAGTTTTGAGATACTGCGACACTGCTTGTGCTGATAACAACTCTCTCCTGGAGGTGCCGGTCCCAGAAAGACCACCCGACTGGGGTGGTCCATCGCAATGGAGGTTCAATTGCCTTTGCAGTTGGGCTTTTCGGTTTGGTCTGGTCTCTGTGAAGGCCGGGACACTACATCGCTTGGGAGCAGCTGTCCGGTCCTTACGGTTTCATGTTCAAATTCAATCTCAGATGACCGCGCTCACCCGCGAACTGCTGGGGTCCGAGGTCTGCTCGACTTTCCGCGCCGTTCTTGTGCACCTTCATCTACTGCCACGGCGGCCTGCTTCAGGCTAATGAGGCAAATGAGGCTACGTTGTGCGAGGAGAGGGGACAAGAACGCAGGGCGTTGCCTTCCGAGCACGACTGAAAGAGCGCATGGCCAGATACTTCCAATGGAAACTCGCTGTTGGCTCGCATCCTTTCGCAGAAGATCCTGGTGAAGCTGGCGTAATTTCGGAGAAAGTTGGGAGAACAAAATGCTCAATCTGGCTGCTCAGTGAAACTCACTGCGCCACAGGTCAGGCTGGGCCGGTACACTTTGGAGGTCTACTTGCTGCAGACGGCTGTGCTATGCCCCCAGTGTCGCATTTGCTGCAGTTTCTTAGATTCACGTCTAGATTCTACATATACTTTTAGATGTCTTGGTGGTGGTGTCTGATTTCTGCATGATGACGCTGCTGTTTAACCACATGTTTGCAGTTTGCAGATGTTACAGGATCTGAATGACAAGGCTCGTAGAAGCCTCGAAAACCTCAGCTACATGTAAGGCGGCGTTGTCTGAAGTCTGCATAGTTAACATTTCAAATCTATGTAGTAGGGTTCAGCCGAGCAGCTGCAAGCCAGCAAGAAGGCTTGAGGATAGACGATGAGCATGGGATGTTGCCAATGGTGATGTCGGGCATGTCTAAAGGTCGTGGTGGTGTTGAAAGGTCTCCTGACAGGGCCCATGGAGTTGCAGCATGACGAGTCTGCAAAAGCAAGCAATGAGATCTGGTTTGATTTGGACATGCCGGCTTGGCTTGTAGGTGCTGCATAGTTGAGCGGTTGCACCGAGACTGCCATGGAGCTAGTGGTTCTCCATGCGACACGGAGAGGACGCCTCAAGCATGGACTCCTCTTCGGTCTACTCGTGGCATGCTGGCAATCGCAGAGACTGATTGAACAGATGGCTTTTTGCGGGAAGACAAGCTTCCTTGCTCGTGGCCTTCTGGCTTCCTGTACTGCGGCGACTGAGGAGCAGCGACTGGCAGCTTTGGGTGGCCCTGTCGAGCTTGCACCGCCTCCAGCAATACCGACAGCCACATCAGAGCCATCTTGGACTGAATGCATTCTGCAATCCCAGCATGCAGGCAATGCAGACTCAGAACCAGAACTCCACGGGGTTGAAGTTTGGCTCTTCCGCAGCGATACCAGCGCAGGGTTTGAAAAGTTCTTAAAGCATCGCCACTTCGGTGCCGGAGATGATGCAGCAACCTGCCGGAGCGTAGATCCTGACAGTAGCATACAGTGTCTGGAATGTACTCGTGTGATTTTCGGTGGCGTATATGGATCGATCGGTGTTGTCGTGCCAGCTTACCCACACGAGAGTCAAGCCACTGGCTGCCTTTCCAGGAACCGTATTGTGGAGGCTGACTTCGACGACGATGATAATTATGATGGAAACCCAACCCAAGAGGTTGCTTTATGCAATTCCCACCGTGGGCAGCTAGACGCCGTGCCAGTCCCAGACAACTGACCACGCAGACTTGGCAATTCACTTCTTAGGTTAGCACGTAAAGCCGTGTTCGCGCCTTGAAAAGATGCAAGAGAGTCTTAAGCATCGGAGTGCCATCAAGCTCAGCCAAGCAAGCCGGATGGCCGGCACAAAGCTTGCTTGCATTTGCCATCGCAGGCATGACCTCTTTCTTTGGATTCGGGCACCTGGTGCAGGAGGCGGGACATGTGGCTGTTGCCAAGTCAGAGCCCGGCGCCGTCAGGTCTTTGGCCTGGTCTGCCGTGGACACCGCAGGTCGAAAGCCTGGAGACGGAGACAGCGAAAAAGCTCACAGATGCTCACAGCTCTTCTGAGCCTCTCAGGTCTTCCTGCTTTACCTGTGTGTCCTCTGGCTACTCTGCGCTGCTTTTGCTGAGACTGTTGCTGATCCCTGAGACCACTTTCACCTCTCGCAGGGCAAAGTCTTTTGGGTCTATGGCTGCAGTGTGCAGGCAGAACCGCTCACGAGCAAAGTGAAGACTTTCAGCGCTCACTGGGTCGCGCAGCAAGAAGCAAGTCATACCAAGCAATCACACCGTCATCTGGCTAGTTCTGTGTCACTGGTCCTTCCCATCTGCAGACACATGGCTCCGAGGTCGGGAGAACTTTGCGCGGCTCTCGGGCGGAATCGAACTCGGGTTGCTCAGATGGACTCCTGCAAACCGATCAAGGTCGCAATGTTGTGAGGAACGCAGACAGCAGTATCAGCAAGTAGATCCCGGCTGTGGTTGAGAAAAAGATGCCGCCACACCAGTTCAGACCAGTGCGAGTTTGCAGAAATGGGTTGAGCCATCAGCCATGTGGGGGTTACCGGTTACCAGCCAATCAAACATACTGCTGCGAAGGATGCTGCTTGTGGCTGTGGAAGCTGGAAGACATTGTTGACAGCAGTCTCCGTATATCCGTATATGCGTTTTAGGATGTGCTTCAGCTAGAGCGTCAATCTGAAACAAAGCAAAGTGTACGGTGAAGAGACGATAGCCCTCGGAGAGAAGGTAAATAAAGACTTGCAGGGCATGGCCACAGATGGTGCCAGCGGAGACAGGCAAACGGTTCGTCGACGGATGTAGGAAGCAACTGGAAGCAACTTGCCCAGGTATCTGCCTCCGCCCACGGAGCACGACCCTCAGTTTTGGACCTCGGTCTCGTGACACGAGCGTGCAAATGCCTGCTTTGCTTATTCATTAGGTTCTTGTTTCTGCTGGCGCACGTGGAAGCTGCCCTCGGGTCAGGCTGTCTTGAGGCAAGCCTACAAGCAAAAGACTCACCTGATTCAAGCGGACAGAGTCTTGCAGTGCTTCCTTTTAAACTGCTTCCATTGTAGACTGTACACTTTTGAATGTCCCTGTGTGAAGTGAAGTACCTTTCATCGTTTCTATGCTTGGCCGGCCAGGAGGACGGAGATGCGGAGATGCAGATTGCAAAGGTGCCCTCTAGAGTCTAGAGTCAGGTCGAACGAAGCAAAGCCAAAAGGCAGCATGCCGAGGCTTCGTCGTATGCAAGGGCTCTGACAGCTCGGCTGCAGCAAGCATCTGAGCCTCGCTGTGGTCTCTCCCGATCGAAGCATGCAATATACTTCAACATGGGCCTCCTTCTGCGGTGCGAGGCTGTGGGACGGTTTGTCAGCTAATTTGCTGGAGCAGTACCACACCAGAATTGAACTGTTGAGTCCGCCTGGCTCAGCCTTGTCCGCGTCTTCGCGAACCGTCGGATGCCTGCACTGGTCTTAGACGCCACGCCAGGCCACGCAGTGGACCTTGCCAAGAAGTTTCCTTCTTAGCACACTCCTTCGTCCTGTCGGTCCTCTGCCTGGTCATTTCTGATCATGAGAGGTCGAAGCTCCCAGAGCTCCCGGAAGCAGAGCTAGAGGTTATCGGCATGCAAGGCCAACCAAGCAGCGTCCACCGCGAGGCACTCACATGCGCTGCATGAACTTCGGCTCGGTCCCGTTTGCGAGCACACGCACACACACACACACACACGCGCACGCAGCAAGCAAATGAAGAAGCGTAAAAGCTGAAGCCAGACACACAGACACACACACACAC